TAAAATGCGAGACTTTAGAATATTTGCTTCCGAAGATCAAATCTTCGTCAAAAGGAGTACAAACGTCAGAAAGCCTTTTGGAACAAGCAGTCGACGTACGGCGGTTTTTTTTCGAGTAGAAAACAAATTATCAAGAACAGCGAAGTCGCTAAATTAGCTAACAAAGGTTATAAAAGCTGACTCCCAGAAACGGCGGACCTAGTGCAGTGACTAGTGATGGTGCTTACTATCAAGACCATGGAGACGTTTCAGGCGATCCCTCCGAACTTCTACATAAACTCCTCGCAGGTCGGCTGCTTGATGCCAAAGCTGTTTCGGATGCCAAATACACAAAAAAAACGCATCAGCTGGGACCGACACGTCGTGCAACGTTAATCATCGTTCTGGACTAATATTTCCAAAAGACGGAGGTGGTGTAGTGGCAAGTACCACGTGCACTTTTCATGAATCAAATCCTGGATCAGCTCCCGCCAGAATGCGAACCAAACCTTCTATTCCCAGAGGACGGTTGACTGGGACCAGATCCGTCCGGGAGGATAAGAACCTGACTTGTAAACTAAAAATTACGAGATGGGTAGGCGTGGCTGCGTACTTGAATTGAGTGTGGCGGCAGCCAAGGTTTTCGTGAAATATTTTTATGTGAAACAGTTTTAATCATATCTTTGTCCAACATAGAAGAAGATTACAGCTGTCTCAGACTGAAATGTCCCACGTGTAGCCCATCGAATGCCATATTCATATGCCACGTCTACTCCGTCTCAGGGATAAGGAGTATACACTGGACAACCCCCAAAAGTCTTTATAGGCCACATCGCATTCAATAGGCCGCTATGATTCTGAATGGAAGTAGAACGCGTGCTGCATCGCAAAAGGTATTGGTCAGCAGCTAAGACTATCCTTATCCTTGATTAATTCCAAAATTCTGAACTCTTGGCAGCTCTAATTATTGGGTAGATAAAATCTTACATTCTCCAGCTCGTTCTGATAACCGATTCTCTTCTCATTGATGCACCCCGAAACAAGTACTCAGACGTTGCCAAGTCAAGAGAATGAGAAGGGAGCATCAGAACCTCCGAACGACTCGGGCTATTTTCTGGCGAGTTAGCTTTGTATGATAAAGTGAAGCGATGTCATGAAGTAGAGCAGCATAAACAAATTCTTGCACTTCAGGCGAACTACGTCTTGCAGTTCCCGCAGTTGAAATAAGTCAACTCTAGCGTGGTACCAAAAGGCCTATACAAAGCCTGCGAAATCCTTGGCTGAAAAATCAAGTTTGGCTCAAGTGTCCTCGCCAACCTAACAATGAGCTGATCTCCGCGGTTGAAGAATCACCGAGGTCATGGTAAAGTACAAAATCAATTGTCTTCAGGATACTGAGAAAATTCCGAGTACGTGGCGTATCCATAAAGGATTTAACAAATTTGAACGTTTTACTATTTCTTCTTCTCGCGCTTCTTCAAGTTATACAGAATGAAATAATCATGCAATTCACTGCCTTAGCTGTTAGAGGTTTCATGTGTAAGCAAACCGAGCTGTTCATTCACTCGCACTTGCGAATCTCCGAACTTCCAGTGAGGATGTTTTCGAAAGAAAAGAGTGAGAACAAATTCTATCTGGCATAATTCCAAATTCAGCTCCCGTTTCAAGGGCGTTTTCTTCCGGGTGGTTTCGACATCGATGCACTCTGTTGTGAAAATGATGAGCTCAAAGAACGCTCAGTACCAGTTGTTGCACTTCAGTATCGCTCCGGGCGACCGCTTTCCGAAGTCCAACTCGATGAACACTTTCTTTTGACACATAGATAAGGGATATTCATAGTACACCGCACTTGTACTTCCGCGCCGATTCTGTTGGAACTCCTCAATGACAGCATCCACCTGGCGGTAAAATGGAACCCTCCCTAGGCCTTTCACAAAAAGTCTTCTGTTTCTGGTTATCTCTCCTTGTTTATCACTAATGTTCGCTAAGAAACGTGGAGCGTTCTCCTTTTGTGTTCGTTCTCTGGCTCGTCAGCATCACGTGCGACGCGATGGAGCCTCAAATGTCTGCACATATGACGTGCATGTGCGATGACTAGATTCATGCTGCTTCCTCTGTAATTGCCAGTGGCCGGTTTTGGGCGTGAATAAGGCGGAGGAAATCGAAATAAACGAGAAACATATGCGCTAGTACGGAACAAGCACTTGAGCGCTCTCATTCACTCGACGACAACTCAAACAGAACCTCGCAAGAATGCTGCTACACTTTGGTCCGGTTCTCTCTAAGAGTATCGTACCCACCGGTATAAGAAACTATGAAGCTTACAGCGTTCACTCTTTGGAATACACCTTTTACTCAAATATGTGGTTGTTAACACCGCAATCAGTGGGGGCGGTGTCAGAAGGGGCGGGATGAGCCCGCTTTTGGCTGCCTTGCTCACTAATGGTGAATGGTTTGTGATCGATTAAGGAATAAAACAACCTGTGCTGGAGAACGCCGTGGTTGATTGAGCTCATTCCATTTTTTCGACACCGCTCCAACTGATATATCAACTGCATTCGGCCAACGCAATGAGCGTCAGAGACAGATGAGACGGGATGTATGTTGTTTGGCGCAATCACATGGCCATCGTGTCGTGTCAAAAGGTATCAAAACGTCCAGTGAATCGTCCCATAAGCAAGACAACTCGTCCACATTTGACGAGAAGCATGTGCACTAAAGCCAATACTCGCAGCTTTAGAGACTGCCAGTTAGGAAGACCTTACAGTTTAGTGATTTGGACGAGCTGTCTAACTTACTAGATGCGTACCATAACCTGATAGGGCTGTCAACGGCAGTGTGATCGCGCCAAACGACCGCCTCCCGATGAGACGTCCAGCCTCTCAGACAAGATTGCCACCAGCTGACTGACTCTGGCGGGATGTCTGTACTCCTTCGGGAGTACACCATCGGGTGTGTCACTATGATCCCCTTCTCATCTACCTATCTCCAACATAGACCTCATGCAAAATGGTATGGACTTCATAAGGTCCCTTCGAGCATGGGGACATCATCCTTGTGTAACACACAATAGGAGCCGTGTTCGGCCGTTGCGCGGAGAGGAGGAGTCGAAACTGGTCTCGAGTGTATCCTCTACTAGTCGACAGCGCGTC